TATATAGCATACATATCTATCGTATATCGCTCTATATTTATATATATATGTGTGTGCTAGACTGCTACGAGTCTATACCGTTATGAGGGAGAACACTGCTAAGTAATTGCCTTGGTACAAATGCGAAAGAGATGGCAACAGATCGCAACCGTGAGACTTCCGACTGAATGTCTGTCTATATAGAAACTGAACAGTCGGGCAATCGATTTCGATTTCGATTTCGATTTCAATTTCGGCTATTGCAGTTGCCGGTGCTCGCGTCGTCGTCCTTGCAATCCTTGCGCGCCTTGCCGCACTTGTCCGTCGGCGTCGACTGGTGCTGCCGCTTGGAGCCATTCGCCTGCCCCTGCTCGTAGTGCTTGTCCAGCATCTCCAGGAGCGTCTGCTGACGCTTGCCCACAGCATGAGCTGGGGAACTTGTGGCAGCTGCTGCTGCTGCTCCAGCTCCTGCTCCTGCTCCTGCTGCTGCTGTTGCTGTTGCTGTAGCTGGTGTGACTATGTGATTGCTGTTGCTGCTGGAGTTGCTGCTGGAGCTGCCACCGCCACTGCCACCGGCGCCGCCGCTGTCCAGACTCGCAGCCAACATCATGGCGTTGGCCTGCTCCTGCTCGGCATCGTCATCATCGTTATCCGACAGCGCAATTCCATTGTTCTGCGAGCAATCCGAGTCGGCAAACAGATCCGGACTTTGCTGTTGCTTTGCTGCAGCTGGCGGCGCCACTGCATCCGCTGGCTTGGGCTGGGCATCGGGCACCTTGTGCAGCGTCTTCAGGCCCTCGAGCACGAAGGCATAGAGAGTTCGGCCGGCGCCCGTCTTCTTGAAGGGACACAGCACGGAGTACAGCTGGTGCACGGTGGTGCCATGGGCACGGAAGATCTGCCAGAGCTCGTGCAGGTCATCCCTCAGCTGGCGATTGCCGAATGTGTAGTAGGCCAGCGGACGGCCGTGGTGGGCGCAGACCATGATCTGGATGAGCGCCTTCAGGTGCGGATCGCCGCCGAAGGCGCCGCAGCCCCAATTGCCAGTGGCCACGCCCGGCGCCGGCGTCGACAGCCAGTGCCTGAAGCCAATGGACGCCTTGTTCAGCTCACGCAAAATGAGATCCTCGCGATACTGATGCGACTGCATCTGCTGGTCGAATCGTAGTGCATCGATGGCCACAATCGCCGTGTGGCGGCGCCGCGACTTGTCGTACGGCGTCCGATCCTCGTGGTTGCCCGCCCACACGAAGCTGCTCGCATAGCCGGTGTAGTTGCTGAAGCGCTCGCTGCCCACCATTAGCAGCGCCTCCGTGGAGAGCAGGCACTCGGTGAAGAGCTTCGAGATGAGCAGCTCCGGGCAGATGACGAAACGGATCTCCTCCTGCACGCAGCCGTGGCCGAGCACGCCGCCGCCCAGGAACTTGTTGGCAAAGTCCACCTGCAGCAGGCCAACGCCCTGATCCTCGATGGTGCCGCCGGCATTGATGTGCATGGGCACGCTGGCCAGGACCGCAGAGCTCGCGTGCCAATTGACCTCATCCTCGGGCTTCCCGCTGACGCGCATGAAGGTCAGGCAGCCGGTGGGCACATTGCTGGCATCCCGCTCCGTGGGACAGACGCGACGAAAGTAGTGGAAGATGCACTTCAGCTTCTCCAGCACCGCTGACCCGGTGGCCTGATAGAGTCTGCAAGAGAGAGGAGATACATTCGTTTAATGGCTGCCAATGCCACACAGTTCGCACCGCCTGTCGCCAAACCTGAGCCAGTTTACCTATTGAAGTTAATGTCCGGAAAATTGCCGTACTCGGACTTGCGCTTGAGCGTGTTGCGGCGCGGAAATGTGCATAGAAAAGCGTTGGCCAGCAGGCACGAGATCTGCTCCTGGGTCAGTGACACGGCAGACGTGTGATTCTGCTTGAGCAGCGGAATTGGAGCCCTGATCAGCTCCGGCAGGCGCAGCGCCAGACGAATGATGCGTGGCAACAGATCCTCGAAGAAGACACGCGACTCGCTCTCATCCAGCTCGTCGTTGAAGAGCTTGTGCAGGGCCCGGAAGCTCCACTGGTCCTTGTACGTGCTGTTGTACGTCAGAATGGCCGCCTCGAGCTGCTTGCTAGTGGAAATGGGACGCTGGAGCGCCCGCTTGATCATGCCCCAGCGCGACTCGATGTCCGAGGTGCCATCCTCTGCCGCGACGGGATATTTGCTCTCCGGTGCACAGGGCAGGCGCACATGATCGGAGTCCCAACGATGTGCGCCCCGAAATGGACGCGGCGGCTCGGTCTCCGGCTCGCGAATCGGATGTCGGTAGAGCACCTTGTGCTGGGCGCCCGGCAGCACAGCGCCCAGGTGGTCCAGCTCGAAGGGCAACAGCCCGCGGTGCACGGCCTCGATGGGCAGGCAGCGCCAGTGCCAGGGCGTGTCGGATTCACCATCACTGCCTGCCACAGAAATAATAGTGAATCATTAAATATGCAAACAAAAAAAATATTGCAAAAACAAACAACAACAAAATGCCAAAATGCAAAAATTTTCCAAACAATTCGCTTAATCGACGATTCGCCGCACTTACCCGCCGCCGAGTTGTCTGATGATGCCGGCGATGCTCTGCCGTCGACTGTGTCCTGCCTGGGCGCATCTATTTTCATGCTGTTATTGCTCTCGCCGTCCATTGGATAATCAACGCGCGTGTTCTTAAAGTTCGCAAGATGTTTAACAAATTGAAAACGCCACAGCGTTGCCAATTGTTTTGGTAGTGTTGATAAGCGGCCACTAGACCTTTGCATTGGCACAGCCGTTTTGCTCTGTGTATAATAGTATCGTAAAAAATAAGACGAACCGCTCAAAAGTCACTTAAATTGCAACTGCGAATCTTAATAATATATTGTATTTGCTTCAATTTGTGAATTATGTGTATTTTATTTGCTATCGATATATCGATATGCTGCACTCTTTATGTGAGTACAAAAGCGCGCACAGCCAACTTCACGCAATTTCAAATTTACGTGCGCAAACAGGAGACTGTTATTAGAAAAATGACACTTCCAAATCTGTTCAATAGAATTACATCCGCGAATCTTTATTATGTATCGACATTGCTTCAATTTGTGAATTGTGTGCACTCTATTTGCTATCGATATATCGATTGCTGCGCTCTTTATGTGAGTAAAAACCCGCGCACAGGCAACTTCACGAAATTTTAAATTTACGCGCGCAAACAGAAAACTGTTTAGAAAAATGACAGAAGCAAACATTTTGGTATTTCTATAAAAACTTTAAACCAATTTTTTAAGAAATAAGTAACAGGGGCTTATTTACATTTTTTACACATTTCTCACCTAACATTCAATAACCCTTCAGCAAATAATTTTTGCTGCTGTTTTCAAAAAAATTATCTCCTATGCGAAAACATTTTTATAACACATGTACATATACATACATATGTATAACATCAGTCAGTACATTTGTAAATTTGTTTATTTGATTAAATCATGCAAATTTCGTGAAGCTGCGAAGTATAAACAGAAAAATTGACGAAAAGAGCAAGCGAAGGAGAGAGAGAGAGAGAGAGAGTCAATATGCTACGCCCCTCTTTTCGCCACGTGCAGTTAAGCGAACAGATTGTTTGTTTTCTATGTTTTGCTCGTTCGTTCACTCACACCAGACCCAGAAGGACCTGCTTAGCAGCAAAAATCTACTTCCGCTGACATGAATAATCAAAACAGAGTATTCAATTTGTTTTGATTTGTTGGTATAATAATCAAATAATAGCCAGATGAGCGGTTTTAGATCTTGATTTGAGTGCTAAAAAGCTGACTTTTAATTTGATCACATTATTTTGCATGACACAGATGCAATTCTACAAAGATCTGCTGGGCTGTGTGTGTGTGTGTGTTATTCGATGGAAGTGCTTTCGCAATGTGTGTGTGTGTGTGTGTGTGCATTTTAAGTGCTTTCGCAGAGTTCAACACACCTTTATCGCCGCCTAATCAGCCGCATAGGGTTAGCTGCGCAGTTGCTATTGCTCTGCTGTATTTTGATTATGAACTCTTTGGCTCTGCCTTCGTGCGAAGTCGCGCGTCGCGTCGCGTCGCAAAGTAKTCGAATGCGTAAACAAATGAAGATAGCAAAAGAAAGCAGCAACAAAATTATCACAATTAGTTTAGTCTGCTCTTTTTGCGTATGTGTGTGTGTGTGAAAAAGAGAAAGAGAGTGAGTGTGTGCGTCTGTATGTTTGGCTGTGTGTGTAGCCTTCAAGTCTACATCGCAGTCGCCTTGACCATAACCTAGAAATTAATGTACGTATTGTGAGAGCGCCAGAGATTGACTGTTTGTTTGTGTTTGTGTGTGTGTGTTTGCGTGCACATGTACATATACATATGTATATTTACGTCAGCTGCGCAGCAGCAAACAGGTACCATAGCGGCAGCGGACGCGGCGGCGTCCAATCAGGTGCCAAAAACAAACGACAACAGTGAAAGCAACAGCAACAAAGCGCCAGCATAAGGAAAGCACTCGCACACAAACACACACGCACACACGTGCATAGATAGAGAATGCGAAATGTTACTAAACTTTTCAAGGTCACCCCCAGTATGAACTACAAATCGTAGCCAAAGCCGATATAACGCTAACGTCGACGCTGACGATGACGCTGACGCTGACGCTGACGCCAGCGCGCTGCACTCAGCTGCAGGCAGATTCAAAAGCGTTTCGCGAGCAAACTGAAAATTTGCGGCTGTTGTTGTTTGTGCATAAGAAAAAATTATGAGTTTTGCTGTCTGAAACACACACACTCTCTCTCTCTCTCTCTCTCTCTTGCTCCCTCTGCCACGCTCTCTCCCTCTTGTTATCTTTATTTGAATCACATGATCCAAAATGTTTGTTTGTTTGCGCTTAGCGCTGATCGAATGCATCCACTTCTTCGGGCTTCAACTGGTTTCTCATATTCTTCTTCTGCAATATTCTTGCATAATAAAAAACAAATTGGATAAACATACACATATAAATATATGTACATATGTACACTGACGTAATGATGGCGAAATTGTTGACATGATAAGTCAATATCTACATGTTCATATACATATGTATGTATGTATTTTGTAGATAAAGTTCGTATTTATTTGAACGTATGTATGTACATACATACATATATATTCCTATGGGATCTATTATACAGAAGTATCAAAGCTAGATTACAGAACTCTATATTTGCTGTTTTTATTCATCTTACTCGAGTTATTTTGGTATGCTCGTATTCGTAATTCCTTTGGGAATCCGACAAACCATAGCTTATAATTTCATTATAAATAACTGTAAAAATAGTCAGAATCTTGTATATATGTACATACATCTACATTCAAGTATTGCATTGTTCGTATACGATAATCGTTGTGTCCGCCTGGGGGAATCGTAATAATAATAATAATACTCAATATTTATTTATTTTCTCTTTGTTAGTTTCAATGGTATATCGTTTTTAAAAGCGAACTGCTCTACTACTATATATACTATTAATATACATATACTATATGAACAATCAATTGACATAGCATAAGAATGCTCCTAGGCTTTGTTTACTAGCTCATATAGTCGTTAGATTTGAGTGTATATATTATATATTTAGTATGTAGACTACTTAGTACACCATGAGCCTAGAGAGCTCATAGCTCTGTAGAGCTCATCATTCTGAACTGCTGAACTACTAAATAGCTCATATAACCTGTAACGCTCAGTCGGGTAAAATGAGTTAGATTCACTGTTAATTACTTAAATATCTTAATTCACTAAGCACTTAATTAGTTAATATGATTTAAACATTTTGAAGCAAAAGCAATTAAATAAAAATTAAATAATGTTGATGTGAATATGAATATTTTCTAATGGCATTTTATGATATTTAAAATACTTAATTTGAAGGTGTTTCAGTCATTCAATGAGCATTGAGTAATCTCCAATAAGAATTTCACGTTTACAGTTTATCGCGTTTAAGCTTCCGATCACCCTGTATGCAATGCACTTTGCTTACGACGTGTGTTAGAGAAAGATGGAGCTACAAAAGCTTTTAAGCTCAGCTGTAATTGTTTTGATTTGCTGTTTTCTTTAGGTTTTTGGGTTTCTTTTTGTTTTGCCGTTGGCGTTAGCGTGGGCAACAACAAAACCGTTAAGTACTTGCGCCAAGTCTCACGTTTGCCAATTTACTGTTGTGTTTGTTGTTATTGCCGTCAGTCCGTTTGCTGCTGCGACAACAAACAAAGATACGAAAAGGGGCTGCGATTATCGCAGCTATCGAATATTGCTTTCGATTTGCATTCTTTGCACTTTGCGTTTTCGCCTCGACTGAGCGCCAGAGAGGAGATTAGATGGGCTGTTGAGAGTGTGTAAGCACACAAAGGCAAGTGGGCGTGCAGCTCAACAACAAAACAATGCAATTCACACACACACACACACAGTCGTAAATGCCTGCGTATTATGCATACTTACATATTTATGCACATACATACATATATACAGACAGCAGCAGTTTGGCTGGCTGACAGCTATAAATAGAAACGAGCTGGATGGCAATGGTGACTGCGAGAGAGAGAGAGAGAGAGAGAGAGAGTGAGTGGGGAGAGAGACCTGTGTTGAGTCCAGAGAGGCGCGAGGGGTCAACGCAAAGCTGAGTGCATGGGCTGAGGCGTGGCTGACCACGTGTTGCTAGGCGGGTCGCTCAACCCAACTGCGCTGCTCAGTTCTTCTAGCTGCTGCTGTTGCATGCTGCTATCATTATTCTAGTTGCTACTTAACACACTCACACACACACGCATACTCTCACGCATACATATGAATATTGTTTACAAGTACGTGTATTGCCCCGTTAAAGTTTCGCATGCGCGCATGACCTTGAAAATTTTACGTCGCGACGCTTCTAAAAACGGCTGCCGCTGCTAGCGCCGACGTCGACGTCGACGCCACCGACAACAAGTCAACAATTTGTTTCTTCTACTTGTTTGTTGTCCGAAAATAAGAAAAATCGCAAATTGCTGATGACATTTTCACTCCCACATACATACATACATACATACATACATATGTACATACATACATACATCTGTATAGAATATTATGTATTTACTTGCATACATACGTACATATTTATGTATGTGTTTATTACTTATGTATGAAAAAATTTCACTGTCAACTGAATTCGCTTCGATTGAAAAGTTTCATAACATTCGAAGTCGTTTGTGACTGACTACATGATACCCTACACTTTTTTTTCAAGTATTCAGTCTATCCAGGAAAACTGTATAAAATACGATTCACTCTACGCTTCTTTAATACATACATATGCATATAAATAGAGCTGACTCGCTGTAGCCCTATCTGCCCGCCCGCCCGTCCGTCTAGTCGCATTCGAACGCTTCGATCTCAGGACCTATAAAAGCTAGAGAATTGAAATTTTGTTTGTAGGCGTCTGCATATGCACGTGCATATGGAGTTTGTTTCAAAAAATTCTGGTTTCAGTGTTATCGAATACAAACCTTATTAAAAATCAATAATAAAATTATATTTCGTACATCTTTAAGGCTGGAGTCTCCGAATTTGGCAAATACATTTGTAGATTCAAATGAATTTTAATACAGCTTTTTATTTCTGTTAAATTTACTTTGTATTTCTTAAAAACTTTCTCCTAGTCTCTATATAGATATATACTTTCTTTTTTAATAGTAAGCACTTAATTATTGTTTGCTTTTAACATATTTCATATTTCATCGAAAATTGTTCAACGCCCACGCGAAAAT